ATGGGGGATAGAGAAAAATGTGCAAAAAAAATCTAGTGTGAAGTCACAAACACTGAAATGTCAATCATAGTTTTATTGTTATTACATTGCATTACTAAAAGATTGAGTTAAATCTTAGATGTACATTTTTATATCTAAAAATATTTGAATTTCTTTTAAGTTTAACTTTAACATTGAGATTCTTGGGTTTGCTATGCTTGGTTTGTGGAGAATCTACTACACCACTTTAAAAAAAAAAAAAAATCTTGCAAAGCTTTCCTGAACATATAAGCTCACTGAATAGTCAGAATGTAGTAATGGAAAGGAGAATAACTGCTTATTATGAATGTGAAATTAGCTATTTAAAATGAGAAGAAATCAACCCTGAGGAACCTTGTTAGTCCACACTCTAGAGTTAGACTCAACGAAGGAGTGGCCTCATGAAACTATACAGAATTTTTATCATGGTGTGTTGAAATACTCTACAGTAGAATTTTTCACGTTGCCCTTTGTACAGAAGTTGGACTACAAACAGACTGTGTGGTGATGTGATTCAGTTTGTTCATATACCTTGTTAATAGTAGATATCTCTGAAAAACCTATGACATAAACCAGAAGTAATGGAGTACATCGGGGTTCTCAACCTCTCTCTCTCTCTCAGGCCCCCCTTGACATGCTATAAAAATTCCAGGGTCCAGCAGGGGTGGGGAGAGGAGATTGGGGAGTGGGTGGGGGCGGGGAGAGGTGTGGAGCTGCTCCCGAGACTGCCATGATCTTGTGCAGCACTTTGGGAGGGGTGGGGGGAAATACCTCTATGTCCCCAACTCTGCCCATGGGCTCAGGGCTTCTGCCCCACAGGGAGCACCAGGGCTCGAGGCTCCGGGATTCAGCCCTGCACCTCCCGGCTTCAGCCCCGTGAGGGGTGCTGGGGATCTGGGCTTCAGCCGTGGGGCAGAGTTGGGGACATAGAGGTATTGAAAGGGCTTGCGGTCCCCCCGGGGGCAGAGGCCCCCCGGTTGAGAACCGCTGGAGTACATCACCAAAATTTGTTTGCAAAATGGCTCAAGAGCTACAACGAAGGGGTAAACAAATAATCCACATTTGAGCTCAGACAACTGCAGCTACCAAAAGCCTAAATACTTGCTGAATGCCATACAAACTTTGGCAATCCCTAAAAATCTATTTAGCTACATACAGTAGTGATGTTCAGTTGACAGTATCACTTAATATCAGGAAATGCCAACTCCCTTGTGATAAAAGACTAAATCTGTCTACATATTAAATTTCCTTTTTAGAATTATTAAAATCGTAAGTAAAAAGAAATCTTCCAGCCCTAATTTCTAACTTGAACTCTTATTCTTACAACTAATACTGTTTGTAGATTTCAAAGTCTATGGAATGCCACTTGTGCACTTTACTGTATCTATTAGAATCCAACACGTAAGATGGACAGTGCGACACTGGCATACCAGGTGTCAACTCATGCCAAGGCCTCAGGCCTCATTGAACACAGACAAAAACATAACTGGAAACCAGTCTGTCTTACCTGTGTATTAGTATTGTTAAGATAAATATTAGTGCTGTAAGAATGTCTTTGGTGTTTAGACATTATGATTAGTGTAGGATGCCGCATATACAGATCTCACTTATAACCTCTATCATGCATGGTATAAAGTTATGAGCGTTTGCATTGTAAACCTCTGTAATTGTGTAATTCACCAAACAGGAAAAGCAACATTAATTAAGGTGAAGTGCTCATCCTGCACACAAGATGGCCCACTGAAGGCAAATGAGGAACTGTGTAGCATCAAAGGGCTTGTTGACTACATTTCCTCACTCCCTCCAGGACGAGGAGACCTGCTTGGATTCTGGGGTGAAGGGATAAAAATCCCTGACAAAGAGAAACTGGGATCTTTATACTGTCTGGACTCTGAGGGGCAACGATTAATAAACACAGGCAAGAAATCCTCATGATGCTTGACATTGAGCACCCCTGAAGAATGTACAGAGCTGCTTATTTTAGAAGCTTATATTACCTTTTTAAATATAAAACTCTCTGTGTCTGTATATATATATATATATATGTTTCCTGTTTTAATCTTGTGAATAACTCATTTCTTTTCTTAGTTAATAAATCTTTAGTTAGTATATTACAGTATTGGCTACAAGCATTGTGTTTGGTTTATGATAGGAGTACAATTGACCTGGAATAAGTGACTGGTGCTTTGGGACTGGGAGTAACCTGAATATTGTTGTCCATCTACCAGTCCAAGTGGCAAGATAGACTGGAATGCCCAAGGGGACGGTCTGTGACTCCATGGTAAGACTGTTATAGTTCTTTAGAAGTTCACATTTTTTATTAGGCTGATGAAATCTAATTATAGAACATACAACAAGTTTGGGGTTTCTGCCCTGCTTTTTGACAGTCTTCCCTGAGGCTGCCACTCATAGGCATGAGCCATTCCAGACAGTGTGATGTACAGTATCCTAGTTTATTCAGTGAAGACACAGTTTTCTGGGGGCACCTGCTGCCCTAACATATTGTACTAAAACACACGTTTTTGTCCCAGTTTCAATATAATTGTTTAACTGCCTGACTGGCATTCTTCCATCAGCTGGCTTCACCAATCTTATATTAATAACTCAAGTTTCTACCACCTCTGGAGATTTGAAAAGGCATAAAGAGGAGAATGACACTCAATGAGAGTTGGGTGTCTAACTCCACTTGTGCCTTGTCAATTTCTCTACTGAATTGTCTGTGCAAAAGAGTGTAATATTCTAGTTTATAAACCTTTCTCCATCATAAAGGAAAAGCCCTAGCTGATCTTGTCCCAACTCTCATTAGTAACTTCATCAGAGAGTTGTATGAAACTTTCTAATGTCCACCTACTCTGATTCTTTGGTGGGAGGGGAGGGTTGTTTGTGTTTTAATTAACAGTATGCTTCCACAAACTTAATTTTTTTAAAATCTGGAACCAAGTAGTTTAAATTTACAATAGCAACCCAACTGTGTCCAGATCAGATTAGAAAGTTGTTGTCTTCTTATTTAAAATGATTTTCATTATACAGGCAACAATTTCACTCAAGATGTAGGTTGTTAGATGGATAATTTCATGGATTAAAACTACCCCAAGAAGAAACACTTCTCAAGTGTTCCAGATTTGTAGGACATAATCAAATCTCGGGGTAGTTATTCCCAATTATCTATCCACTAGGCCATTGTTTTCTATTTCATGGCAATTATGTTTTCAGGATCATTCAAATGAACAAAGCTGAGTAGAAGTGGCTTGGTTCTCTTTTAGGCCTGATATCTGCTACTTGCATTCCAATTCGTCCGTGCTGACCACTTCAATATGTAAAAAGCAACAGAGGGTCCTGTGGCACCTTTGAGACTAACAGAAGTACTGGGAGCATAAGCTTTCGTGGGTGTGAGGTTCTTACCCACGAAAGCTTATGCTCCCA